TTGGCCAGAGCGGCGATAACGATGCCCAGGTTGGACAGCGAGCCGTTGATGGCGGTCATCTCTTTGAAACGGTCACCCTGAGACTGGCTCTTCACCATTCGCTCACTGCCAGCCAAGTCCACCAGGCACAGAGTGGCTACATCAGAGCAGATTTTGCACTGGTTACAGTAACAATAACTAACCAGACTCAATATTATAGATCCAAAAAGAAGAAACCACATTCCTGATGCTGGTACTTCCAGTGGGATTATACTCACATTTGCACTTGACATCCCTGCCGGCATTGACTCCCTCAATATCCAGCTGGAAGACTGAGTGGGAGCGAGACGAGCGGTCATTCTGGGCTGTCTGGGCAGTGGAGCGATTCTGATTGGCCAAAGCAATCAGACCGAGAACCTGAGAGGACGAGGGGACGTTTTAAAACATATAGAGCACTGATAAAAGTTTGGTAACAATTTGTCAGCCGATTTGAAATTAATTTTGTTCTGAGCTACAGATGTCTGTCTGCTGTACCTGATCCTCATTGGAGACCCGCTCATAAGTGAGATTAGTGATTGTCACTTCATTGCTGGTTGTCTTGCGGATCTCATGCTCCGGTCTCTTGCTGGACTTGCCGGTGTACAGAAGGTCCCTCAGGGTCTCATTATAAATTTCAACAAAGCTCGCTGTGAACGTGAACTGAAATAAAAACTAAAATGAGCACATTCCCTCATAAAAGCACCGCGAGAGCACACAGCAGACTGCAGTGTGAAACCCCTCTGATGCTGAGGAGCAGAAGCAATTTAACACTAATGTGAGACTTTTGTGGATAAAAGAAGAAAAGCACAACATTAACAGTGCGGCAGATTAATCATAAAAGCTCCACTCATCTGTATGCTCAAAATCATCTTTGGTGCTTAAGGAAATATGGCCGACTGTGGTAGAAAAGCAGTCTGGTCTTAGATGAACAACCTGTAACACTTACTACTCACGTCTTTCAGATAGTCTGCAGTTTAAAAGCTGCTGCTCTACCACCGTGTAAAGCTGCTACCACTGACCTTCTCTTCAGACATTCAAACACAAACCAAACCAACCTCCCAGCCTTGTTCTCCCAGTTTCCCTGCAGCTTTAAAGATCTGTTGCACAGCTCTGGGAATGACACCTCTGGTCTCGTCAACCTCGTCCCCCTCCATGGTGTACGTCTTCCCGCTGCCGGTCTGACCGTAGGCAAAGCAGCAGACATTGTAGCCGTCCAGTGCTGACTGCACCAGCAGTGAGATCTCCTCAAAGACCTGAAGATAAAGACAAATTCATACATTTCCTCCACACATAGGCAGGGACCACAAAATGAAAAACAGTTTATTCTTTGATATACTGTAAAATGTGATATTCACCTCCTGCTGGGAGGCCCGAGGACCAAACACACGGTCGAAGCTGAAGTTGTAATTCTTCTGAGTGTCAGCAGTTTTGCCCGTGTGAGACTGAAAAGCACAAAAACTCAGTTCAGTTGGTTGTTTGTGCTTCCTCTTTGGGTTAGGGTTCATCTACGCTGACACTGAATTACACGTGTTAACTCACACAGAACTCAAATTCTCTGCAGCCAACAGTTTCTTTAAACATGCGTTAAGCGGTCCTCATTCTTACCTCCTCGGTTTTAGCCAGCGTTATCGCTTTGTTGTCACTTGTGGCGAGTTGCACATGCTTGGGAAGGCCTCCACCTACCAGAGGACGCACTCTGCAGAACACTCTGATATTACCCTGCAAGAGATACAAGAGTGAGACTGAAACTTAATATTTT